GTGGCAAAATTATATTTAGTTTAATTGACGAGATATTTGTGTGGAACAAAGATTCTTGCCAATAATGAAAAGTACCTCCGAAAAGTAATTCAATAGGTGGTTAAGAGTTTTGAGTTTCTATACTTTGTAAACTATTATTAGGAATATCCGTGTGGTCATCTTTGACATTCTATTGTACCTGCTGAGCAAAACATCTATATGATTTAAGCCCTAAAGGTCTTAATTGCTTGTATTGAAGATTCCATTAAATTTCCAATTCAAAGTACAATAATACATGAAATAAAGTAAAGAATGCCTCTCTCTCGCGCGCGCGCTCTCCCTCTCTCTCCCTCTCTCTCTCTCTCTCACTCACTCTTTCACTCACTCCTTCCCCATCTATCTATCTATCTATCTATCTATCTTACTCTCTCGTTCACTCTCTATGTTTCTTGCTCTTTCTAAATCTCGTCTGGACGACTTCCGCCTCGCGACGGCCTTTACGGGGCGTGTAAAATGCGAATACCTTACATCATATGCGCGTAGCCACGCGCGCAAACCAAAAAAATTCCCTTCTCGCCCTCATTCCTCTTTTCCCTTCGCAATCTCAATTCCCTTTTACGAGTGAATAGGCTTATTCACTCTTTCTTCGCCTTATTTTTACTTCTACTTTAGCCGACGTTTCTTCTCTTAGGCATATCGGCGTGCGACCGTCATTGTAATGAACAAAAAGAAGAGAGAGTGAGTGAGTGAGAGTGAGAGAGGGAAGTAAGGAGGAAGAAGGAGTAGTCTCCGCGGGATATGACGGCACGGGTGGTGCAGATTTTCTTTCATGGTATTGCATTATGCATGCGTAAACGCGTGAGCCTTGCTCCCCTTCTTCATCGTTCGCTCCTTGTTTCTTCTGATTCTTCTTCTTCTTCTTCTTCTACTTCTACCATTTATTTTTCTTCAAATTCTACCTCTTCATTTACTTCAGTCACTACCTTCTTGTCCCTTTCTAAACCATCAGCTCGATTATTCGGCTACAAGGGTGATCGTTAATTGCGATAGCTTTTCGTCTTTTGAAAGGGAGAGGCAAGGGATTTTGCAAGCCAAAGAATTGCCTTATTCGCGCACATTTCATCGACTCGCTTCACCTTTTCCAAAACGTTCGACTTTAATTTTGTTCCGGCACTATTTGCAACAAATGAAATTGGCGCACATAAATTAATTGTATTATTTGATCAAAGAGATAGAATGAGATCTATGGTTTATTCTATTTGTCATTAATCGCCCAATAACCCATCGATATAATTACATTTGAAATAAAGTACTGAATAATTATCTTGCATTTCGCATAAAGATTATTGCGTATCTATACAGTGAATATATATATATATATATATGCTTATTTAATGGACGTTGCACTTACAATAATATGAGATATTTGAAACTACTTCCCTACTCTTTCTGTGTATATAACTGCTCCTCTCAATAATTACATACGTCAGCATATGATTGTTTTGATAAACACGCTGGAAATGTTTATTTTATGTTTAAATTGACATGGATCAATGAAAGCATGAAAATATTCAAATTTAAATATAAAAATAAGAACCTATTTGTTTTATAAAATGTATTTTTTGACTGTAATCTATCATTTGTGCATAAAAGCATTCTGTAATAAGCGGGAATACGCGATGATAAATTATTTATTCATATAATCACACTATTCATGAGCTTACGCACACGTTTATAAATGGGGCTTTTAGTAATAATATATTATATCATTGTCGTCACAATCATATTATCGACATTAAATGCATTTATGAGCGGAATTAATAATAAAAAAAAAGGTTAAGAATAGTAGATGATAATTATACGTCATTGCTACAAGTTATTACTACAAATGTACAATATTTTGTATTGTATACTTAAAGGAAACAAGAAAGTTAAACACCGAGACAACGTAATCTGTTAATATTGCCAATGGAAGGAGGGAAAAGTAAATAGTAATTACCCATTCGAAACACAATGGAACATGTGAACGTTGCATATGTTCGAAAAAGTTGTTTCTTCGTTTAAAAAAAAAATAATAAAAAAAAAAAAAAAATAAGAAGAAGAAAAAAGGAAAAAGTAAACAAAAAGAAGAAGAAGAAGCAAAAGAAAACAGAATTGTATACATCAAATTAGTGATTCGACGAGTACTGACGTTAAGTGGTCGAGACGAGCTGAGAAGCATCAATTCATTTCCGCGCGTTTATCTCACGCGGCCCCTCGATCCTTAAAAGATGCTAAGCTGCGCGGGTCAGAGACGGGTGAAAAAAACTCCCGTGGAATATCGGGAGGAAATCTCGAGCGTGTAAAAGGGCGGAAGTCATTAAGTGATGCCTCGAATCAACTACGCTGACGGGAGTCGCGCGCGCGCCTGCAGAGACGAGAGGATCGGACGTGTGTTGGGCTCAGATTTTTTTCGCCGATACTGTCGTCGTACCATCCAATCTTCGAGAACTATTGGCCTCTTTTATTTTTTCTCCATGGCACGTTGCTTGTCCTTAATGGGCAGTTAAAGTGTCGGACGGATAAAATTGGAAGAAAAAGAAATACGAAATGAGGTGTAATAGCGGCGAAGTCTCGACGTGTGACTTGTGAAATTCACTAGAACGCGTGAGAAATCATCGGGTGCTACGATTACGGAAGTGTTTACATAGGTGAACGGACCTCCTCAAGGATCTGCGTGAGCCTTTAATCGGATTTGCTTCGATCGACAGTGAAAAACGTTATGAGTTGCACGTTTTTCAGTCTCTAACTGTCGGCGCATTTCGAGACTCGGCAGTCTATAGTTTTTTCTTTTTTCGTTTTTTTTTCATTCACGTAGTTTTTACATCGCGAATAAGGCGCTACTACGGTGTAATTAATTATTCGAAATTCTTAATGGAAAATTAGATTTCAAGCGCTGTGATAGTTTTATTTTACTGCTATGTGATTGAAATTCGTAAACACTCTGTTTTTAATCAATATTTTTACAGTTTAATAGAGATGTTTTTCTCCGGTTTACCTATGAGTTTGAAATATTTATCTTTAATTATATGATATTACAAAATTTGATTTTTATGATATATGTGTATTTTTGAATTTTTAGAGAATTTAAAATGACAATTATTCATGAATACGAAAATTGAAATAAATAGACCAACAAATAAACGACCGTCCATTATCGAGTATTCAAAACTCTTTAAAGGTATTAAATGTCATGATTAAACGTCTTGAATATCAGTTTAAAAATGAAAAAGACACCGCGCATTTACTATATTGTATTATAGTGGCATATCTTAGTTTAATTAAAGTTTTATATATTCATGTAATATAGGCAATATATATGTTGGAATATATTACTTGACGAGGCACATTTAGGATTAACGATTAGACTCGTTCGACGCTTTTCTTTTCTTTACATACTTATCTTATATTACCAAGATAATATATTTACGAGGCTTTATGTTTTATATGTTAAAAATAAAAATTCCGATATTACTTCCTCTCATATTTCGCATTTCTTCATACTCTGCATGCTTTTAGCTTAATAACTTCCAAAGTACTTATCTTCATTGTATTTTTATTATAAATTTTTGGACTTTTCTTTTCCGCATCTTGTGCAATGTCTTTCGCAAAGCTGCACCCAGCCGAAAGGACTCTTACCGGCCGCGAACTGCACCGATTGAAAGAGCTACGCAATAAAGAATTATTGGAATAGCGTAAGTGGTAGAGAGACGGCAATTTTTCGATATTCGACGGGAATGTGTACGTGAATTTTGATTGATATTCACGTCGGTCTCTGGGAAAAACGTAACGTCCGAAGTATTTTCCACTCGAGGCCGGCAGAATGTTAAGAGTGAAAGCAACTGTACCTAGTAATTCCGTGACCCATTAAAATTACCGATTTAGTTTTAATGAAGAAAACTAGTTTTCTTTCTTCACAAAGAACGACGTTTATTACAATCTGTAATTCTACATTGAAAATAATGATTAATAGCTGAGTAAATAGAAATTTAACAAATACGTTTGGCTGTGCTCATTAATTTTTAATGTTACATTAATTGCATCAATTTGAGAATATAAATATTAATTATTTACTTATTTTCTTCGAAACTTTATTCGAAGCCGTGCTCATTTCTCTGTAAAATATAAATAAAAATAAATACGTTATTATTATTGTATTACATGATGGTTATAAATTTTACGAGTTTTGACATTTTTGTAGAAGGATGAAAGAAAAGGAGCAAAACTAAATTAAATATACATGTTGAGCTTGTTTTTTCGATTTTTTCTCTTTTTTCTTTTTATTCTCCTTCGTAAACATCACGGATACATAGACTTTTAGCATTAATAATAATATAATATGATTTTCCTGCAATGATAAAAGCTTAATTAATTGCCCTTTATTGAGTATATTATATTAGTATTATTATTTATTTTTATTTATTTTTTCTCAATGATATATTCACAGGAAATTAATAGACGAATATTTGAAATATTTGCAGAGAAGTATGCATAAAACGAACAACGATTGTGGTTATGAAAATTAAAAAAATATTGCACATCTTGGAATCTACACATACGTGGAAATTGGAAATATAAAAAATATATACAAATGTGATTTCAAAATCAGTCATCGAATTTTTAAAGGTTACACGAGAAACCCGTAAAGACTCGTAATTAGTGGCAGTGGTAACAAATTTACAAAGAACGCGTTACTTAGATTCAAAAATTAAAAAAAAAACAAAAATTTGCAAGACATATTTACGTTCATCCGACGGATTTAATTCATTTCAGGTCGAATCAGTCGCCATGGCAATGTAGACAAGAAAATAGCATTTGCTCAATGTCATTTAATTTTCTTCCTTCGTAATGCTAGAAGATTAATTAAATTAATTAAAAACGAATGCCATTGCATCCACTAATTTTCTTTTCTTCCCCGCTCGACACGCTCAACATTAATCCGTCAATTTTACGAATTTTATACCAACGTGTAATATATTTACACAAAATTAACAGAATATCTTTCAAAATAACGAAGATTTTTCGTATTAATAGCGTTTCGTCATTCTCATAATATCATAATCGTCATCTCATGCTGGTTCAAGTAAAGTTAAACTTTTGAAACAACTTTAAATGGATCTATCCATCTCGCGAGAAGCTTGCAAAGTTTTTCGAGATTCGTGCGCAATGGATCGATCGTTTGGCCAAAATACTCGAGATAAGTAGCGCACTTTTATCATTTAGAATAATTTAGTATGCGCGAGAAAGTTTTATCCTCGGGGCGATCGTCGAGCGTTCGATTACGCCGAAAAGCTCCAATTTCCAAATAAGCATGCGATCTGTCGTTCGTCGATCAATATCTCCTCGGATCCACGCATCTAACGACGACGGGGACATCATCGGTCCCACCACAGCTGATTACCCGCGTACGTCCAGGGCGAGTTGTCGCAGACCGTCCCGGCAATGGCGTCCCGCACCGGCACCGTCAGTATCCGGAAGTTCACGTCCGTGTAGTTGAGACTGGCGACGAGAAAGACCGGCATGCGGTCCGTCATGAGCCAGAGCAGACCTCGGTTCACCTGCCAAACGGAAGCTGCTGTTTATCGTAGACCTATCCAGTTTCGAGCAAGTTTTGCCGAAATGTAAATGGTCGTAGGATTTTTTTTTTTTGGGAGATGGGAGATGGGAGATACATCAGAGCATAATTCATGATTTGCACTTTCATTGCACTTCTCGGAGCTTCTTGACGTACATGCAAATTTCTGTCGTTCGCATAGCAACTTTAAGCAAATATGTGCTTCTTTCGTATTCCAAAGTTTTTATTTTTCATTCCATATTTTATGGCTTACGTGAATCGAACGAGCATATTACATTATAGAATTATAATTTTAAACAAGAAATTTATTTATTTACTTTATTATTATTATTATTTTTGTATGTTCGTTTGTTTGTTTGTTTGTTTGTTTTTTTTTTTTGGACTTGCTCGTTTATCCTCGTTTATGGCTATTGGTTATTAATATTTAATTGTATAAAAAGTCATACGTGCCGAAAATCTGAAAAAACTCGAAATATGAAATATCACGAGGATATTATTTGCATTTGCCATTAAAGTTATTATTATTATAAGGCTGTTATTAGTTACTTTTATTCTATATCATTAAGAACTTTGTGTTATAATAAATTTAATTCGTACTTAGTCACTGCGTTTCAAAAATAAGTTTGGCATTCATCAGGTTGACCATTTTCTTTACATAAAAACAGTTCGCAAATTTTGATTAATACGACGCTCAATTTCTCCTTTCGTAATACCATAATCGCTAAATTATAAATTTTGAAATTTTAAATGAAATATGGTATTTATTTTGTCTTTTGCCTCAAATGTAAAACAAGTATTTTATCATATTAATTGCGAGCATAATTCAGTTAATCTTGGCTCATAATAAACAGGCTAAAGATTTTTGCATTTTAGTCAAGAGATTATACATTATATACAGCACATACAATTTTGTATTTTCTCTTTTTTTTTTTTACCGAATGCCCATTAAAGTACTTAACAATGTATAGCAAAGATTAAATACTTGTAATTATAATGACTATTCTTTGGCAGCTTAGACTCTTTTCCCTTTTCATTGCGTAAAGTTAACTTATTATTATTAAATTGTCGAACACTCTAAATAATATATATTAATATTCGCGAATTAAGCATTGGCTGTTGTATCACTTAATTATGTTCTTATGCCGTTCGATTATTCGTTAGCCTCTTCATTTAGTAAGCTTTTAATTCGGCTATTGTTATTATTATTATTATTATTGTTGTTGTTGTTGTTGTTGTTGTTGTTGTTGTTGTTGTTTTTTTGTTGTTATTATGATCGTCATGAACGATATAATCTGTGAAGAAAATTCAATGGGGTTGTTTGTACAATTGTTCAACAATGGTATGGAGCTCGTACCATAATTGCGTACGCAAAAAGAATCACGTTACCTACAACGTACACATTGTTATACATTTTTGTAATTGCGTCATTAAAGGGCAGAATTTAGTAAACAAAAATTAATTATATAATATCGAGAAAAAAAAAACTAAAAGAAAAAAAAAGATCGTTCAATTAAAAAAATCAAATGCTTTAATACGGCACGTAATAAATAACTTGTCCAGGGCCGATCAAACCATCGAGAGACGTATTATTACACAGGCCCGGGTTATTGCTGTATTTGCATATTTTCTAAATGCCAGTAATTGCGAGTTCATCATAATGTTAAAAAGAAAAAAGCAAAAATCACGAGATGGGGGCAAAAAATCGATGCCCGAAAGAAATACGAGACATTTTCATCGGAGTCCTTACTTTGCATATCGCATTTAGCAAATTGTAGCCTCGGATGTTGCCTCATTATCGTTTGATATTTGTCTCGCGAGCGACAGTCCTTGAAGAAGTAACCGAAGGAGCAGGGGAACAGGGATTAACGGAGAGACGCTAATAGGCTCTCCTCGCGCCTACCTTAACGTCAGCGGGGAAGATCATGGCCTCGTCGTGCCTGGCGACGACCGCCTGGTTGGCGGGGGCGTAGGGTAGCAGGGAATTCCAGCAGCCGACCGCGTTCTGGTCGATCAGGTTGAAGAACTGAAGTCCGTTCTCGTCAATGATCTCGGCGGTCGAGTGGCCGAGAGGTCCGCGCTCAGGCAGCACCTAAGACAGCCCAATGATGATCTTCAACGGTTTCTCGATTGTAGATGAGGGAGGATCGGCGAATGGGGCACGGGAAGATCGGGACGCGTCCGTTGAGAAATAAGCAATTTTTAAACAGCACGACCATGGAGATTAGCAATGTAGAAAAAGACGGACCCACTGACGGCGGGTACCTTCGTAATAGTTTCGCAGTCGTAGTCAAAAATATCTCCCTGCCTGTAAACGCGAGTCTCAAGGTCTATTCGTAAAACTTCCCCCGTCTTCATCCCTCCTTTTAACACCTTTAATTATCCGATTCGAGAGGCCGCCCATCGTTTACCTGGAACTCGTGCCAGCTGCTCTCGGCCAGCTTCTCGTCCCTCAGGATCCTCGTGGACACGGCGAACTCGCGGTTACTGCTTAGCGGGTGGAAGAAGAGGGTGCGGTAGCCGTTAAGGGCGATGGGCGAGAGGCTCATCCCAAAGATGCCCTCCTCGCCCCACTGGAAGTTGAGGCCGCCGATGTTGTAATCGCCAGAGAGGGGATCCGGCATGAAGTAGCTGTGGTAGATGCGCCAGGACTTGTTTTGCTGCCACGAGTATACGATCAAGCCGTAGCCGAGCTCGTCCGACATGTAGGCGAATGCGTCATCGCAGCCGCCCTTGCCAATATCAACGGCGATGTTGGCGATGAAGGTGTTCTGGAGACGAGTGGCGGCTATTATAGACGCGCGCTTATCTAGTCGAAAGGCTTTTCCGGATCATTTGGTAAATAAGAATGCGCTGGCCTACACTTCCCGAGACCTCGTGGATTATTAGTTTACTGCGTCTAGCCTTATTTACTAAATAATTCGATAATGCCGTCTTTAGAATTCTCCATCTATTTTTTTTTCTTGAAGCTTTCAATTATTTTTGTTTTTTTTGCTTAGCCAAGTTGAAATTTGACTATTTTGCTTGTGAGCTTTGTTTAAAACTATCTGCGTCTCGAACGTTTAACGATATGAACAAGCACCGATACATTGGTGGATTATAGCTGAAAATTCGATGATGACTTTATCGTAAACTTACAAGTTTACGATACTTAAATGAATATTAAAGCAATAACAACTTTAATCGAAGTTTGGTGGTCCATATTATTTATAAAAGGTAAATGTTGTGAAATAGCATAAAAACATATTGAATTATTTTTGTTTTTTTGTTTTGTTTTGTTTTTTTTTTTTTTTTGTAAACAGAGCAGCACATTCCAATGATCGTTGAAGCATAATTTTCTCAAATTATTATCGATATACATTCTTGTAAAATATATGAAAAATTCATTCATAAAGCGGAAAATTGTTATTTTATAACAATTAACATATAAATTGCGTATAAAGTTTTAAGTACAATAGTATAGATATAGATACGTGCATTATGAAATTGGCTTTTGAATTCAAGCCCTTCTTCTTCTTTTTTTTTTTTAATTATAAAATTCATTGAGCTCAAAAATCAAAATACTCTTATCTAAATATCATTAATGAATTTAGAAAAGTATGTTTATTAAAAATTAAAATTATAGCCGAATAAAATGTCGGAGTAAATTTTTCGTGCAATCGCATTTTTATGCGGTATGTCCTGTAAATCGGTTATAAAGTGAAATTGTCATTAAATTGCTAAATTCATGAAAATACTACCATACGTTCAGAATTTAAGAGGAAAGTGCTGTGTAATATTGGCCAAAATCAATATCAATTCAGCTTAAAAATAAAAATCCATTCGATACTTCTAAACATTAAGGAAGCTGCTTTATTTAACGTAAGACATCGGTATGTAATAAATAAAAATGGTCGTTATGCGACGTGAAAGCGATATTCGTGTACTTGAATTCCAGTGTCAAGAAAAAAATCCACAAAAATTTCCGACTAATTAAGCTAGCTACCATATATAAATTCCTGAGAGCGAACGAATTCTCATCCGGAGTCGCTTATTTATCTAGAGCTCATTGTCTCCCTCGGTTCCTCCGTGGTTAAAAAAGAAGAAGAAGATGAAGAAAAAAAAAAAAAGAAGACGAAAAAAATGACATTCCGCCGAAAGAAGCAAGACGGAAAGGCGCATTGGTCCGAGCGGCTGGATAAGCCGAGGAAAGTCAAAGCGAGAGAAAGAGAGAATAGAGAAAAGGTCGTTGTGTAAAAGCTGCTCACTTGGTTGACATCCTCGGGCCTGAGTCTGTATTGCCTCAGGATCTTATCGGTGGTCAGGTCGAAGACATTCAGGGTGTACGGGCAGGCTTGAACGGTGGTGTTGCCAATGCCAACAGTGCCGACATCGAGGACCCAGAGCCTGTTGCACGCGTCCGCGTGGATCCTGGGGAGGATGATACGTCACGTCACGCGTCAATCGTTAAATGCCGCGAAGAATAATAACGGTGACGGGGGTGGGGAGTCGTCATTCACAAGTTGGAATGTCTCATTGTGATGCGGGGATCCGCTTAAGAACTTTTCTCTCCGACGTTTGGCATTTCTTATGTCGCGTCGCATTCAAGCGCACAGCGAAGACTTTTACAGCGTTGCTTAGGCCGTGCGCACATCGTTAGTAAGGAGCATTGCAGTGAACTTAGTTAAGGAAGTTGCTGAAGCATCACGAGATACGATGAATCGCGCATATATATATATATATATATATATATATATATATATATATATATGTATATGGCGTTACGCATGAAGCAAACACTTGCACGCTTCAAAGCAAAGAACGTAAGATTCTCCGACGATATCTTAACGTTAAATTATCACGTGTACTATTAAATGAAAATTATGGAAGACTTAATTACGGCGTACTTTAATAGCGCCTTGAAAGCTTAATTGCAGCAATTTCGTTATGAATATTTGACTGATGCTCGAAAATATTAATATACCTGAACATTTTTGTCTTCCTTTTATATTAGTTTTAATTGTAAAATGAAGGGATTTTGAAATTTCTGTATATTACAAGGTATTACGATATAAATCAATGTTGAGCTTATGATTGTAATGAAATTCCGAATGATCAAAGCTTTTCAATCAATAAGGAGCGAGATGTATTGCAGTTACGATGAGTGCTTGTATTACTATTCGAACGAGATAGTTCTGATTCGTTATCGGCACTGACGTCTACAGTAAATCGCTATCGCTATCAATTACTATTGATTGAAAAATGAATTCGATAAGAATTACAACATACCTGTATACGGTGGTGAGTCCGCTTCCACACGCTCCAGCGATATTTTGAGCCCAGTTAGGGTACGGATTAAGCTTAGGGGATCCACCACGAATAGCATCTAAGGGGATGTAATTCAACGTGGCAGGTATTCCTATAATCAACAAACGATATAATATAAGATTTCATTGGCATTGCGTATATTAGACTCTTGATGTATCGTAAATAGTACGTTCGCTTTGATCGATTAAGATACGAATAAACCAATTACGAAAATTACGATAGGATACGATCCTTTCAATATTCCTTAAGAATATTGGTAATTTGACGTAATTGTTTCGAATGAATTGTCTCATTATGGAATTTACTTTAATACATTATAATTAATAGCAATATTAATTTTCGTATAATTTATTGCCTCGCAATTTACTTTAATTTTTTTATTATATTTTAAGGTCTGCATCCCCTTAAAATATAATTTCATTATAAATGAAAAAGAAACAAGAAATGAGGATGAAAAAGAAAAGTCGAATAAACGCTGTTAAATTAAAATGTAATCACTTGATTCTTTTAATGAACAACACATGCGTTTAACAGGAAACTTACTGGAATTATAAATTAAAAACAAACCGAGAAAAAAAAAAACAAAAATAAACAAAAACTGTACGCCATTAAAAATAAATACCGGTTTCGGTAGTTAACGAAAAACGCTACGTTAAATTCGTTCTTCGTTCATTGCCTTCCTAAAATTCTAGGAAAATCGACAATATCCTTAAGACGAGCATTACAAAGTTTAATACATTGAGAGAATTTGTTGGCAACCCCGTGGAATAACTAGTGCTCATCTCAGTCCCAACACTAGTTCAAAAAATTTCTTCAATCTAGGCCTTATTTAAATAAATCTTGGATAACATGTGTTCGGTTAACGTTCTCTTTGAAGATCAACCCGTTGGGAAGTCACTGGATATCGCATTACATTCCAGTAGGCCACCTTTGAACAAAAGGGGAAAAAAGCCGAGCGCACAGCTCACCCGAAGAATAAACGCTGCGAAGATGAAGACTTCTTCCTTTCTTTCTTCAAGGAGCTCATGCATATGTGTGCAAGCAGAGAATACAGCATCATTAAGTTTGTACGCTCGTACTTTTTCTTCTCCTTCTTCTTTTTCTTCTTCTTTCTCGTCTTCTTTTACGTCTTTTTTTATTGTTGTTGTTGTTGTTTTTTTTTTTTTTTTTTTTTTTTTTTTTTTTTTTTTTTTTTTTTTTTTTTTTTTTTTTTTTTTTTTTTTTTTAATGGTACAATGAACGAACACGAGCAAAGGAGAAAAGAGACGTGAATGAGCCCATTCAACTGTAAAGTGAATTAAGATTGACACGCGGGAAGAGAGATGAATTAAAAATTATAGAAGAACGACGAGGGCGAAGAGAAGGGAGAGCGAAGAAGTAAGGCACGGGGTGGAAGTTTAGGCCAAAGGGGCGCAATGAGGGACTCATCTGGTTGGAAGAAAAAAAAAAGACAAGAGGGAATACATGTACAGCAGCATTTGATTAATCGATGCAATAGATTTCCGTATGATGTTTATTAACGTTGTCATACTGAATTTGCCTATTCCATGCTTGTAATGCGATTTAATCAATCCTTCGCTATATTCGAAGGTTATTTAACTCAATGCTCCCGGCTCATTTTATTTTGTACGTTAAAATACAAAATAAAACATTAAATAAATGTGAATGAAGCTCTTTTAGTTGTTTAACCGTTTGTTTGAATAGGAAGCAATGTGCGCCGAACAAATGAGAGTACCGATGGAATTCAGTATTTATTTTTATATTCTGTACTTTCTAAATCGTATTAATTGGCTAATACATAAAATACAATTAAGAAAACAAGTGTACGGATTATATATGTGTGTGTGTGTGTGTGTGTGTGTGTGTGTGCAAAAGCGACATAAATGTTGATTAAAGGATAATGTAAAAAATAAGTACGAACGTGAAAGTTAAAGATATTTTCTAATCGAGTCTTTTAATAAATGTATGGACGATTTAAACAAAGGCGTCGTGAGGAAGGAAGCAGTGACCGAAGAAGTTTAAGGAGAGCCATACTAAAGGAATTTGTACGAAAGAGAGAATCGAATAGTGCAAGTCCACCATTTAAGATTTTGGTCCGTTTTACTTTTGTCGCGGAGCGGAAACCGTCCAGACTATATTCGAAAACGAGAATGAGGGAGAGAATGAAAAAGAGCGGTCGGGGAAGAATAAAAATGAAAAAGTAAGAAAAAAGACAAAAAGTGGGTGTTAAGCACAAGGATCGTAGGATAACGAATAGAAGATTGATAAATTTAGGAAACCTTTGAAAAATGATTTATGGCTAGTTCTACGCGACTTTTAGATTAAATAACAATCTCATAGATAAAGAAACTTTTTATGAACATTGTAACTTACTTATTCAACGTTTAGATAATTATGGAATTTAGTTAATAGAATAGTTAAAACAAAAAAAAAAAAAAAAAAAAAAAGGAAAAGCAAAGAAATAGAATACATTCTCGGAGCGAATTATATTTTTAACCTAAAATCAAATTACTTTTTAGTTTCTTATTTACTATAATCGCTTTATTAAATAAAATTTAAGCGTCGTTATTACCAATACATGCTAATGTATAATAATAAATAAAAGTAATTGTTGCGTATAATATGGTAAGTCTCCTCGTATAATTACAAAATGTAATTTAAAATAATAAATCATTAGTTTGCTCAAATCGATCAATGACATTGAAATCAATAAATTACGAATTAACTAAAATAAGTTAAAGTTGATAACAAAAAAAAAAAAAAAAAAAAAAAAAAAAAAAAAAAAAAAATTAGAAAATCGATTTATTTGAGAAACTCCTTAGGTATCGATGTCGTCAACGGCATATTATAAACACAAACGATATGTTATAAATAATTTTATCATCAATGTAGATTTCGATTTATTAAATCACAAGACTCGTTCGAAGTAAGTAAGAAACGAATAACACTACTTTGTTTCTTTAAAGTTATATAAAATTTAATCGTTGCAAACTGGAATATTAAATATTTAAAAGTTTTCAAATATATATTCGATAGATAAAGTAGGCCATAAAGAAAAATCGTTCTCCTCAATCTTTTATACATTAAGTTTGACAAACAGTTCCCTACCTGTAAAATTTTTAATATTTTTAAAATTTTTAGCCTCGTGCCATTATTAAAATTTCAAATATTACTACGAATTGGGCTATTTCACTTTCTACAAATATATACACTGTTTCCTTATATAAAGAGGTAAAGCTCGGCTAAAAGCGCATTCAAATAATGTCAAATACGTATGAAAAGTCCCATTCAACTTGATTCAAAAGGGAAAAAAAAAGTTTCGTTTGAATGGAATTTATTTCCTGCGCCATTTGATAATAATACCAGTGGCCTAAGTAATACGTATGCCAGTAAAATGCAGACAAAAGCATTACTGCCTCCGTATAAACGATCTATAAATAAATGCACACAGTTCACCAATACGATCTTCATGAGACTTATAAGCAGAATCATTAATAAATTATGCACATTTAATAGGGCGTCAGGCAATAATACGGCCCGTAGAGGGAGAGAAATGCACAGTGTGCACGCGTCTTTAAACGTATAATGTAATTTTAACGCAATAAACGTGACGAATTCACGTTCTTCGAAGGCCTAGAAAATGATCCAACGGCGCATTATATCGCTGGAATCGTTGGAGCTCCCGATTTCATGGAAGTGTGGCTCGTGAGCTCCGTCGTTGGCAAAAGAAGCGCGTCGAAGCGCGAACAATCGACCCGTGAAAATTGCGCGGAAAATATTGATCGCCGGATGGGGGATGACCGAGGGGTAGGGTGGGGCGGAGGGGCGGGGGGAGAGATGGAGTAGGAGGGTTGCCGAGAGACTCGCCGCGTGGGCGGATCAAAGCGGACCTCGAAAACTTGGTGCGCGCGCTACCGGCTTCCGGTTGCCATTGTGTCCGGTCCGCACAAAGGACCAGCCTTTCTTCCTCTCGCGCCGGAGTCACGCGGGAAGCTCGGACAAAGGTGCTCTCCGATGCTGTTGCAATTTGTTGCGCGCTGCGACTCTCGGGGGCAGGTTGGGAATTACCGTTACCGTCAAGTACCTGCCAATCTTACACTGGATTCTGCTCCCCCCCCCCAACATCCTCCTCCTCCTCCTCCACCACCACCCATACGCTCGCCCTCCTGCTCACCTCGTAACTCGTAAGTGTCGATTTCTCGATTTCGTATCTGGCAGCTGGGGAAACGTTTTTTTTCTCCTTATTTTTTGTTTATTGCCAGCGGAATATATTTTAATGCGTAATGTAGAGTGGCTTTCGCGCGACATTGGCGTAAATTGTATACTAGCGCGAGCTTCCAATTAATGTAATTATTACTTAACGTGTCGGAAATAATCGATACGAATATCTTTGGTAATCGAGACTCATTAGAATTTAGTGTGAATGTTTATTATTGCAGCGACTACAACTTTTTGCGATTAGTTTGAATTTGTTATATAATATACGTTGTCGCCAAACTTCACAAATCTGCTTAATATGTATCGCTAAGCCAAATTTTTTTTCTTTTTTTTTTTTACTTTAATCTATACGCTTTCTTACGTTGCACAAGGTTACGTGGTTAACAACTTTATTTACGGTGGATTTAAGAATTTAAAAGCGCTGTGAGTATTTATTCGCGTGATATAACATTTAAAAGTAACGCTTTCTTAAATATATGAGCATTAAAATTATAAAATATTGAAAAGGCAGTGCAATGTATGTTACAAAATAATAAAGTGATCGGAAGTTTAGACTGTGAATATTGCAAATTTTTAAATTCATTGCGACAGGTTAAATGTGTTTACTTTAAAGCGTCGCATTACATTAACTGCTTATGAAATGATTTTTAAAAACTAGAGATTTCGAGAGAACGAAATTTAGATAAACGAATTTATTATATTTGGATTGAAATTTACGTCAGAATAAAATGTTTGTCAGCATTTGTAATTGTGTATAAACATATAAATAAATAACTAATTCAATAAATGAAATAAATTACAAACGTAATTTGTAGCTACAATTTTAATTAAGAAGGCATTATTTAATTTGTAATTAATCGACAAATTTGTAAA